CTTCGGAGTCCATTTTTCCAACTTGGTTAGTGAAAACAATCACTTATTTACCAAGTTTACAGTTTCTTACTGTGTGACCTTTGGCATGTTATTTAACTTCTCTTCGCCGCACCAATTTCTGCATCTGAAATATGCAGGTAATAATACCATTTCATATAGTTATTAGCATATTAAAGGAGTATTGCATATATTAATGTTATATACTACAGTACTATATATATTAATTTACATACTAGTGTTATATATTAGAGTATGACATATATTAGAAAATATACTACTAATACTTTACATACTTTATGTAAAGTGTTTATAACAGTACCTGTCATATAGTGAACAACATGTTATCTATTTTAAACGTAGAATTTCTTATGACGTCTAGCAATTTTCTGTTTATTACATGTATATTCAGAAAATATGAAACACATTCTAAGCCCTCCATATTAGACAAATGCTTTGTATATTTCATTTCTTTTAGTACATGGATCAACTAACATTGGAAATATTAGTATTAAAAGGAAAGTCAAAAAGTCACACCATAATCGTACACTTTGATTTCAACTGAGTCTCCTACCCCTTCCCACTCTTGCGTCTGATCAGTTTTCTCTGGACTCCAGTAGAGCTTCTGCAGGTAGAACTGAGGGACCTCGGATCACTGCCCTTCTCAGTTAAAGGGCCCGTTCCCCCCGTTCGTGAACACACAGGATGAGACTGAGACTAGGAAATATATCCTAAGCTAAACCAAACAGGAGGACGATCTGAAACTCAAGTTTCTACTGTTAAATATGTGAGGCTAATTTGGCAACTAAGAACGTGGACCTTAGAACCTGAAAATGTTCTCTCTGTTCTTTCAGGATCCTTAGTGATACTTCAGTCATCATCATCTGTGTCTGACATAAAACCCTCATTGGATAGATGTGGAAACTGAGACTCGGAACCTAAAATGATTAAAAATCGAATAATGGCAGAGAGAGCAGCAATGAAGCAAACTCTCCCACTCTGCTGGTGTTTTGCCTACTAACCCAGCTCCTTCTCTCCACCTCATTTTTCTAAATATCCTTTCTTGGCAGCATCACGCTTCCCTGCCGTCTGTTCTTGTACTGTGAATTTACAGTATGGAGCACTTGGTACCAACTTTCCATGTGCTACTGTTTTAATTAGTATTCCTGTATTAATATGACCGGACCCATCTCTAGTGAATGATACCACTATTTACCACCTACTTTCTCAGGCCAAACACCTTGAACTCATCCTGCATTCTTTATATTCTTTTCCACCCCACATTCAAATCATAAAGAAAACCTATCATCTCTGCCTTCAAAATGTGTGCCAATTTCTATCACTTTGATCTACCTCCAACGTAGCCCCTCTGAGCTGCAATGTCCAATAGAACTTTCTGTGATGATGGCGATGTCTGTGTGTGTGCTGTCTAATGTAGTAATTAGTAGCCTGTTGTGGCTACTGAGCATTTGAAATGTGGCTAAGTGTGACTGAGGAACCAGGTACTTTTCATAACAGCTTTAGTGATATATAATTTACATACCATACAGTTCCCACTTGAAAGTGTACAAATCTATAGTTTATAATATATTCACATAGTTATGCAGCTGTGACCTTAATCAACCCCAAAAGAAAGCCCATATGCCCATACCTATAAGCAGTTACTCCTCATTTCTCCCCAAATATACCCCAACTCCTGACAACCACTAATCTACTGTCTGTCTATAGACTATTCTGAACAGCTCATCCAAGTAAAATCTCACAATATACGGCCTTTTGTGAGTGCCTTCCTTCACCTGGCATAGGATTTTCAAAGTTCATTCATGTTGTATGTACATGGATTAGTACTTCATGTCTTCCTGTTGCTCGATGATAGTCTATTGTGTGTATGTATCAGGTTGCATCCATTCAATCATTGATGGCATTTGGCTATTGTGAGTAATGCTGCTATGAACATTCATGTGCAAGTTTTTGTATGTTTCATTCATCTGTTTTTACTTCTCTTGGGCACGTACGTAGGAGTGGAATTGCTGGGGTTTGTGGTGATAAAACAGCCTCGTGAGGAGCTGCCAGATGGTTTTCCAGGGCGCATCCTTTCATTTTCCCACCAGCAGTGTACGGGGGTCATAATTTCACACATCCTTGCCGCCTCTTGTTAGTATCTTTTTTATTTTAACCAACCTAATGGGTGTCAAGTGCTATCTCATTGTGGCTTTAATTTTGTATTTCCTTGATGGTTAAAGATATTGAACATTTCTTCATGCACTTGTTAGCCATATTTTTAATCTTTGGAAAAATATCTATTCAGATGCTTTGCCCATTTTAAAATTATTTGTCTTTTTGTTGAGTTGTAAGAGTTATATATATAATGTTCTGGATACAATTTCCTTATCAGATAAATATTTGAAAATATTTTCTCCATTCTGCTGGTTGTCTTTCCATTTTCCTGATGGTATCATTTGAAGTATAAAAGTTTCATTTTAATGAAGTCCTATTTATCTCTTTTTTTCTTTTTTCACTGCACTTTTAGTGTCATGCTAAGAAACCATTGCCGAATCTAAAACCACATCACTCCTATTTTATTCCAAGAGCAAGAGTGTTGTGGTCAGTTCTATGACTCATTTGAAGTGTACAGTTCCGAGTTTTCATCATGTTTAAAATACTGTGCCTCCATCACCGGTATATATTCAGGACTTTTTCATCACCCTGGACTGAAACTCTATGCACATGAAACAATAACTCCTCTTTCTCCTCCTCCTTTCCCACTGCTGGCAGAATTGAGTTTTTTATTTTAATTAATTTAAATATAAACAACTACAGCAGCCGGTGGCTACCACTTTGGACACAGCTCTACACACCACCAGAGTCACCCTCCTGGGCAGAGTCACCCCCACACTGGCATTGTCGTTCTTGTTGCTCCAGCTTGGCAGCTAGTCCAAGACCTGTTCTCTATAAAAGCTGACTGTTCCTTTAAGTGCGTCACTTGCACCCATTTACTGTCTGCTCAGGATCCTCCTTGGTCTCCCATCTCAATGAACAATGAAAGCCCAACTCCTTGCCGTCGCCTACGTTCATTTGCCCCGTCTGCCTGAGCATCCTCTAGTGTCGGCAGCCCAGCTGGTCTCTGTGATGGTCTTTGAGCCCATCCATGTGTCTGTATTCAGACTGTTGGCGATTTCTCTCTGCTTGGAATGCTCTCCCCTAGGTAGTCACTTAACTCACCCCTTCGTGCTACTCAGACCTGCTCAAATGTTACCTTCTCAAAAAGATGTTTTCTGAGCTTCCTATCTGAGAGAACAGCCTCTGTCACAGTCTGTCCCTTGACCCTACCCCACATTTTGTTACAGCACTTACTGCACCTGACACTTGGTCTTGTATCTAGTTGTGTTCATGTCCTGGCTCTCTCGCTGCAGAGTGAGCTACATGAAGACCGGGACCTTGTCTCCCCAGCTCCCGTAACAGTACCTGTCATAAAGCAGACTTCAAATAAATGTTTGTTGTACAAAGAAATAATAATATTACCTCTTCCGAGGCTATCATCTATGTTAAAATCAAATAAATGGCCTCTTGTCTAATCTCAAGTGCTTCTTTATTGAGGCCTGCCTTTAGAAATGTCACATCTATTATTAAAATAATCTGAGGGCCCGTGACTGAAAAGTGAACCCCACAGTTCTGAATAGCTATTTGCTAATGCATCAACTTGTTACCTTCTTGGGGTTAATTCAGCCTTTTCCTTATTTTTTGAACTTTTCTCTTCCTTCCCTTTGAATGAAAGCCTGCCTAAATTTCTAGTCTCTCTTCACCACCTCCTCTCCCTAAGCTTTGAGGTTATTCCTTTTAAAGTCTGTGGCCACATCTCTCTCTCTCTCTCTCTCTCTCTCTCTCTCTCTCTCTCTCTCTCTCTCTGTTCTCCTAGGACAACCCTTATGTTCCCCAGCTGCAGTCTCTCAGGTTAGGTCTGTCCCTGCTACAGCCATGATGTCACTCATGGTGAATCTCCTTGTCTAGAATCAGGGGAAAGGGCGTACCCTGGGGCTAGATCCAGGGCTCCAGGATTACCAGATTCTACTGTGATGAGACTTGATTGTTACGGTGTTTTAGAAAACTAAGCAGAGTTTGATTCTGTAGTAGGATTCTTCAACAAACAAATGGGTAACCCCCAAGGCCAGTTAGGTGTGCCTGTAGCAGCTACCGCATTGGAAATTTAAACACAAACCCCCTATGTCCTTGGCCTGTAGGCTACAGGTCTGAATTTGAGCATAAGAGAGAATAAGAGGAGATCGGCTGTATCATCCAAAGAAACCATTCCTGACCTGAAAATGAGCTTTGACCCCCTCGGGACAAAAACCAGCACTTTTACAGCAGACGAACTGACGTGAATTAGACAGTTCTATTAGAGTTCTGCCCTCATGATTGGTACATACACGGTAATAGGCATCCTTAAAAAGCAGCAGGTAGAAAAGATAGGAAATTAAAGCTTCAGACCCCTACATGTATTTTCTAAATGCCTCTCATCCAATTGTTTACATTCCCTCAATCTATAGATGCAGAAGGTCATGGAGTCGCATGTGTGAACAAGACAATATCCTCCCAAATTCTTCGAGCTGGTTTTGTATTCATGTAGTTTTCTTTTTTAATTGGCCTATAATTCCACTTTAGCAGAAACTAAAGATGAATAGAAAATGAACCCTTGGAAAAGGTCTAACACTGGCATTAATAAGGCAGATTAATGTGTCCTTATTCTATTCCTATTTTTAACCCAATAAAGGGAGATTTTAACTTTTATAAAACTGTACATTTCAGTGCAGATCAAGTGTGTGGCTGGTTGGTCAGAAACCCATTTTGTTTGCTTCATTTGGAGAAAATGCACAATGAAAATAATTCAGAATCACAGGTGTAGTTTTCAAAATTCCTTTACGTTTTGATGTTTCTGAAGTTTTGCTTTTACATTCTGAGTGTGGGGCTCTGCACCAGAGGTTAGTAGTAACCTCTTTGTTTTCCAGATACTGTGTTGGCCAACGGTCATGCGACAGACTATTTATTTGTTGGAAATATTGTTTACACGGTAAGTTTATTTCTGAGTACTGAACCATTCTTAAATAGCACAGGTGTGGGTTATGCCTCTCAAAACCCTTTTACTATAAGGCCTTCCTCGATAGCATTTATTTCAGATCTTTAAACTGTATATTTTAGACTCCTTAAAGCTCAGAATGGTTGTGAAATGCTTACCTCATTTTTTTGATGAGGTTTAGGCAGAGTCAAGATTTCCGCACAGGTGAGAACAGATTTCCCCATTCTTCCAAGACCATTCCCCTTCTACCTGGGGGCACTAAAGAAGGTGATTTCTCCCAAGTTTTCCAAGTTAAGTAAAGAGCAAAAGTAACTATTACTTGTAAGAAAGCAATCACTAAAATGAGGGTTTTTCTTGAAGTAGACCTGCCTGCATTCTCTAAAACGGGCCCCTGGAGACCCGGCCGCTACATGGCACTGGCCCAGTCCAGCTGCCTTGGAGGAGCGGCCGCTGGAGGGGATACTTGGGAGGTCTCCTGGCCGGTAACTCGCTACGGATAATCAGAACTGTTCCCCAAACGCCTCTTTCTTTTCACAGTATGTGGTTGTCACTGTTTGTCTGAAAGCTGGTTTGGAGACTACAGCTTGGACTAAAGTAAGTTTCCTCTACAATTATTTCTGTATTTGCTGTGGGTGTTTTTCCTGGTATGATAGGTTTTTAAGCTTTGGACAAACAATAAGCAGTACCCAGCCATTCGATTTTACAGTTTGCATGTGAAAACTGTGGTTTGATCTTTATCAGGGCAAATTTACAATCCAGAGTTTTCTGATGATTCATTAGTTGGTACTTACGACAGCTCTAAGCTATAACAATCATCTCATTTCAAATGGATATGCACGTTGTTTTTTAAAAGACACAAAATACAGGCAAAAAAGAGAATTTTTAATTTCCATAACTTTGTCACCAGGATACAGGTCACTTTGCTATATGGCCTTCCAGACTTTGTTCTATGTATTTATTATTATTATTATTATTTTCTTTATTGATTTTAGAGAGGGGGAGAGAGAAATAGAAACATCGCTGAGAGAAATCATTGATTGGCCGCCCCCTGCAGGCCTCCCACTAGGGATTTGGCCCACAACCTGGGCATGTGCCCTGACCGGGAATCGAGCCGGTGACCTCTTGGTGCATGGGTTGATGCTCAACCACTGAGCCACACTGGCCGGGCTGCATTATCTTATTTAAAAAACATAGAACAGGCCTGGCCAGTGTGGCTCAGTGGTTGAGCATCGACCCATGCACCAAAAGGTCACCGGCTCGATTCCCGGTCAGGGCACGTGCCCAGGTTGTAGGCCTGATCCTCAGTGGGGGCGTGCAGGAGGCGGCCAATCAATGATCTCAGCGATGTTTCTGTTTCTCCCTCTCCCTTCTCTCTCTCTGAAATCAATAAAGAAAAAATATTTTTTAATAAAAAATAATATGTTTTAAAAAAAGAAAGAAAGCGTGGACACAGAGTGTGCAGCTGGTGGAGCCGGTGGCTGTCCCCTGCCAGCTGCTGGCCTGCCTGAGCGTGTGTTCTCTCCTGCAGTTCAGTCACCTGGCGGTCTGGGGAAGCATGCTGATCTGGCTGGTGTTTTTCGGCGTCTACTCAACCATCTGGCCCACCATTCCTATTGCTCCAGATATGAAAGGACAGGTCAGTGCTGCTAACTGTGAGTGGACTTCCCGTGTCCGGTGACAGTGATGCTGTGTGTGTGGCCTTTCCGTGTCTCGTGACAACTGTGGACTGCAGGAGAAGCTGGTGTTGCCTCCCGCCATCAAAATGTACCAGGAGGGAAATACAGTCATCCCTCGTTTATCATGGTTAATCCGTTCCAGACTCTAGCGGTTGCACCTGGTGTTGAAGGATTCCTGGGGTGCTCAAATACATAGGCCTACAGTCCACACGCACAGTAATTTTAAATTGTAATTGTAGTACAGGGGTATATAATTGACCCAGACAACCGAGCATGCGCTGTATCATTTTCACTGTCTCAATCAACTTTTTAATGAATATATTTGGAAAAACCGCGATAGAGTGAAGCCACAAAGGTCGAAGTGCGAAGTGGCGAGGGACGACTGTAGACCAAAGCAGAGTACCTGGAAGAGGTTGTCCAGTCCACAGAAATGGCATCTGAAATTTTAACTGTTGTGACCACTGTCAACCTAAATGCCCTGCCTACCCAGCGTGTCCACATTTCCATAATGAGTTCTGTGTGTATCACACGCAGTTCTGATGTGGGGGTGCAGCTCTTGGCTCTTAGAAAACTGGAGATGTTTGGAGTCGCTCATAGTCCAATGAATGTGTTGATTGTAGTTTTGATGTTAAGTGTATATTTGTACTCTGATTAGTCAATAATTAGAAAGATAAACCTAATAACTCTGTTAACCACATCATCAATTAATTAGAATATCTCATTGTTCATCTCTTGAACTAGAGAGGCTGAAACTGGAGATTTTTAGACTTGTTTGAATTTTTTTCATCTTTTCTTTATATTTTTATCGTCCGGTGTTTGAGGTTGAGCCAGCGACAATGGCAGACTGAATCTCAGCATCCTAGTGTCTGGTCTGGAGAGGAGCTTGACAATCCTATGTCTAAACATCCCCAGCTTACGCATGAAGCTCTGCAAGGCCTGCCCCTCCAGGCCAGACCAGCACCCCACTTCTAGTCCCTTCCCTGGTTCTCTAGGACCCTGAGTTTCCTTCCTAAGCAGCCAAAGCCCAGTTCTCAGGCCTGCCTGGTTCTATCCCCAGGCCCAGGCCCATGTGGACACCCCCGGGCCCGTGGGGTGCTGTATGCAAAGGCTGTGCACTGGCCCGTCGGGGTTGGCACTGGGTTGCCCCCACATTTGCATGAGGATGCTGGTGCTGCGGGACAGGGCCAGGGACGGGAAGAAAGGGACAGTGGGTCAGGGGCTTCCTCTGTATCCACTGGTGTCCCTGATCCGAGAGAAAGGTTTTAGGGGCAGACCTATGCTGGGCGCACCTGGCTGCTGTCGTCTGTGCCTCACTGACTCTGCAGAAATGAGCCCGAACTCCTGGGCCCACCCAGCCCAGGTGCATGTCCAGGGCCGTGTCACGTGAGATGATCCAGAGGTGGCACGCTCACCCCTTTCACGCGGTAAATCAGTCAGCGGATGTACCCCAGGGTGCCCGGGCCTCCTCTGCGTGTGGTGCTGAGCAGGGCGGATGGAATGGGCTCTGTGTGCCTGATGCACCTTTGCTTTCTGTAAGGAACAAGCTTTTTCCAAATCCGAGTGACAGAGGACACTGCAGAGCACTGAGTGTATTGAGGAGATGGTTGTGCAGCAAAACACGCATTTCCCAGCAAAGAGACTTTACACACTAAGGAATCAGGTATATGTTCAAGCAGTGGGGGTTGTCCCCAGAAAGCAAGTCAAGAGAAGTATTTACAATAATGATGATCTCTTGGGAAGGTGTCAGTGTCCAGATATCTTCTCTGGTTCCCTTCCTTCTGGTGAAGGGTGGGAGAGGTCTGAGGAATATTGTATTTGGGAATTTTACTGGGCAGGACAATACAGGGGACTGTGGATTGCTGTGGACAGTTTTCTAAATTAGAGGAAAATGACAGCTGACTGAAGAGGCCCAGGCGATGTGTGACTGGCCAGCAAAGCCAGTTCCTTTAAAAGCTGCTCCCAGGGCCCACGACAGAGAGGCACGCTTAGCCGGGGCTGACTCTCGCTCCGTCAGGAGGCTGACTGTCAAAGTGCAGGGGCCCACAGGTGCCATGCAGTCACGAACATGCCACCGTTTCACTATCCGAGTCGCAGGCTGGTCTGTGTGGTTCGTACGCTCAGCTCAATGGTGAAATTTCCATAGTTGGAGACTTTTTGAAGAAATTTAATGAGGTATTTTTACCATCTAAAAGCAAAGCAATTGTAGTATTAAATCCCATGTCACTTCGACATACATACTTTTTGTTTTTCACTTAAACTGTGTCGTGGTGTTAGCTGGTTTGTTTCCAGGAGGCAAATGATGTTTTGAAATCAGACGCGGCTGGATGAGTCTGAGGCTGAGGCTGAGGCCTTCGTTAGATATTGCGTGAGATACTCAACGGGGTCTTCCTGTCACGGGCTTTCTGAGCTGGTGATCCACTGTCTGTGTTTCAGGAGCCACTGATTATCCATAGTCTTTCTCCAGGAAGAGCTCTGAGTGGGGACAGGCTGTCAGAAAATAACCTCAGAGCCAACTTGACTACTCTGTGGTGCCTGCCACACAGGGGTTTGTCCGTTCTTTGAGAAGTGGTAGAGAAGTATTAAAAAAATTTTTAATGTCTTTTATTGATTATTTTATATAGAGAGAGAAACATTGATGTAAGAGTGACACATGATCTGCTGCCTCCTACACATGCCCTGCTGGGGATCGGGCCCCTAACCAGGGCATGTGTCCTGACCAGGAATCAAACCGGCAACCTCTCCATGCACGGGACAATGCCCAACCAACTGAGTCACACCATCCAGAGCACAACACATTTTTAACACGTGAAAAACCGTATGGGTGGAGAGTGGCTACAACTGCCCTGAAGTCTAGCTTTCTGCTACCTCCAAAGGAAGGCGGGAACTGGCCCAGGTGTTATCCATGAGGAGCTGACTTCTTTGGGGTGGGGGGCTTGCTGAAAGTATGCCCATGCCATGTCCATCCCTTTGGTTCCAGGTTGATGTTACAGTATTCATGATTGCATCCCCCTCAGATTCATGTGTTGAGGTCCTGCCCCCAAGGGGGCGGTATTTGGAGGTAGGGCCTTTGGGAGGTAACTAGGTCGTGAATGGAGTTGGTGCTCAGACTAGAAGGGGCCGGGGAGCTAGCTGACCCGTCCTCTGCCACCCAGAGATACAATGGGTGCGAGACGTCTGCAGCCTGGAAGAGGGCGGGGCCCGCGCCAGAACCCTAATCTCAGACCTCCAGCCTCCGGAGCTGTGAGAGATAAATGTCTGTTACCGGTAAGTCCCTAGTCTGTGCTGTTTCGTGGTAGCAGCCGAGCTGAGACCGTTGGTGAGCGCCTCGGAGAACGGGGGGCTCTGGGAGAGCGGGGGGCTCTGGGAGAAGGCTGCCTGACCTTCACCTTCACTTGAAGAACCTATCTAGTTGTCTTTATAAGCCATTTTTTGTCGTGCACGAAGCAGCAGATTTTTGGCAAATGAACATGGTCCCTTTGGGCTCTGGAGGGGACTAGTGTGTCACAGCAAAGGGCATTTCTCACCCAGGAGCCAGAGGCAGACTCCACACACGAAACGTTGTCTGTTCATAACGTTGTAAACTGGTGAAAAGACGCATTGTTTCTGCTGGGCTTTCCTAAACTAATGTGATTAAATATTTCTTTGTCTCATTCATTATATTTGGAGTTTTTCTCATGAGGGGGAAGGCAGGTTTTCCCTCGAGGGCAAAGGGAAGGGAGGCTGTGGAAGGAGGGTGATTTTCCAATGTCAAAGAGTCTTTATCTTCCCTAAAGCACCCCGTGGTATGGTGCGGGAAACCCAGCCAGACACCCAGCCAGGAAGTCCAGGGAAAGTTTCTGAAATCAAAAAAGTCATCTGTATACTTCCTCTCCTGAAAATATGCAACATTTGTGGGATTGTAAGGAACACCCTGTTTCTCCATTTTTCTAGGCCCAAGTTAGGTCTAACATGAACTGAAAACTCAGGTCGTGTCTATCCTGGGGATACTACCAAAGTCCTCAGCTGGGGCAAAGGTGTGATGATGTTTAACTGTAACAGCGACCATTTGTTTTTCTTTCTGCCAATAGCAAAACCGTGCGTAATAGCCTTTTCCATGGTGGGGCCCCAGAGCCAGTGCTCCAAGGTGAATGATAAACTCCTTTTAGCCCAAAGCTGTCTGCTGAGGTAGAGCTTTGAATTAGAGAGATGAGAACTTGATCTAAACCTGGATCAGGAAATGTGCTTATATTTTCTTCATGTCATTTCTCAGAGCTCTTCACTTTGGGAGTGTCTGGGGAGATGCGAGCTTATTTGACCTCTGTTTAAAAGTCAAGTGACCTGCCCCAACCAGCTCTGTGACCTTCGGTAAATCATTTAACTTGCATGATGTTCTTTGTCAGCAAAGTCAAAATAGTATCACCCACCCTGATTACCTCAGAGGATATAATAAGATAACCTGTGGGATATGTATGACATGCAGGCTCTTATTTTCCCTGGGTGAGCAATTATTTATGAACTTTTTTTTTTAATCCTCACCCGAGGATATTTTTTCCATTTATCTTCAGATAGAGTGGCGGGGGGAGAAACATCAACGTGAGAGGGACGCATTGATTGGTTGCCTCCTGCATGACCCCCATCAGGGCCGGGGACCAAACTGCAACCAAGGTCCGTGCCCTTGACCAGCATCGAACCCACGACTCTTTGGTCCAAGGGTCAACACTCTAACCACTGAGCCAAACCGGCCAGGGCTATTTATGAACTTTTATAAATAGAAATATTGTGGTTTAAACTCTCAATTCTTGTTGGCCACAGAATTTTAATATTTTACGGATTCTAGATGTGATATTTCTCTTTAAGGTCCTTTGACCACCTGCATCTGAATCACCCGGGTTGCTTATTAAAATGACACCCCCCCAAAAAAAGCATACTTACAATACTCACACACACACACCCCGAATCAGAATCTCTGGGTGTAGGGTCC